TTTAAAGAAATTACAATCTCAGTAAAAAGTAAAAAATTAACATATTGGAAATGATTACCAAATCATACAGCACCTTTAAAATGTTTCCACCGGGTGAGGCCGTTAACATTTTCAGCTTTGCAGGGTGTTTACCAAGGTCACGCACGTGAAAGTGGAAACGGGGCTGGGTGAGGCGGCTCACACCTGTCATCCCAGCACTTCAGGAGGCTGAGCGGGGAGGATTGCTTAAGCCTAGGACTTAGTGACCAGCCTGGGAAATAGCAAGACCCCATCTCTATTTATTTCAAATGAATATAAAATAGTTTTTTTTAAAAAAGGGAAAGTGTTCCTTACTTTTCAGAGCAGTAGGTCACGACATCCAGAGGCTTGTGAGGAAGCAGCCTCCCCTCCGTGTGGACCAGCATTGGGTGTCTCAGTAGCTTACCCCACGGACTCATACTGCAGTCCCTGGACGAGGTGAACCTCCTAATCTTTCTGAACCTCTCGGTTTTCCGCCGTGATTGACATGGGATGTGGACAGCACACACGTCCTGCGTGCTGCACAGACAGAGCAGGCGGTGCTCACCCACGCCAGCTGGCTTCGCGTCTCCTCTCAATGCTAGGAATTTGTTTGATCCTTCAAATTAAAGTGTTATGAGAAACTAGACCTCAGGTCCGCTGTGGCAGTAGGGATATGAATGGTCCTCAAAGCCCCTGGGACTGTGGGAGCTACAGAAGATGATCAATAGTGTTGACTTGGTGAGGGCAGTTACAGGAAGGAAACTGGGCTGTAGTGAGACCGAGCTGGGACGTGAAGGGACGGAGCTGAGAGGGGGTATTCCCAGCACATTCCCGGTATTCCCAGCAGAAGGAGGTGCAATTCCCAGGTCCTGGTGCAGGATGAGAAAGGACAGTGTGGACCGGAGCACTACGTCCACTGCAGAGGCTGCTGAGTGAGACGAGAATGAAGAGGAAGCGGGAGAGCTGAGGCTGTGCCCGTGCGCTCACACCCCGGTGCCCAGGCAGCTGGACTGTACTCAACTCGAAGTCCTGTCTGTGAGGAAGCAAGCCGCTGAACCAGGACTGCAAATGCAAGCACGCAAGGAGAAAGGGGCGCTTTCCCTTTTGTGACCAGAGTCCCTGTTACCGTCGGTTCAGGAAGATTTTGCCATCTTTAATCCTTGTCCCCAAGACTCAATCTCTTGCGGTATCCTAATGACGACCTCCGCGGTTGAGCGGGGCCTTGACCCGGCTGTCCGCGTTGTGGGATTTGAGGCTGCCTTTTAGATTGAAGGAAGAGACCCTTTGGACTAATACGCAGTAAAATCCTGTGGCCATGCTTCTGTTTGCCCAGCTCATAAGCTGCCTTCTAGGGGGTCCACACACTGCTGTAAATTTGATTTTCCGTCTTGTGTGGTGGAGTAGGTGACGTGTTCTATCAAGCTGCAGCAGAGATTTCAGCGCAGATATCAGGCATAAGAGATAGATAAAACAGATGTAGAGACGTAAATACTGATCACAAGGGTTATATCCTGCAGGGAATGCTGTATCACCACCTGCATGTTCAGAGCCTAGCCTGCAAGCAGGCATGCCCTAAGTGCTGCTGTTAAAATATTATGTGGTGGCTGCTAAGGCAGAGGGAGGTGACCAGCTCAGAAGAAACGGCAGGGAATTCAGTGCGAGGACAGTACAATCAGCAGGTAACTCCCTGGGCGACGGGTACTTATTTTTTTGGTAATTGAAAACTCTTAAAGATATCTTTGCTTAAGGCCTGAGTCTCAAAAAGACGACCCCATGTGAGGGTGAGTGAGGGGTTGAAGCTGCCGGAGAGAGGCAGGTAACAGGTTCTAAAAGGGGCCCGGGTGGGCGTTCCTGCCCAGGATACAGTGTTTGCCTGCACAACACAGTGCAGACTGTCTGCGCGGTCGGTGCTGAACTAGCGTGAATGAGGAGTGGAAGCTGACGAGTCACAGTGACTGAGAGGAAGTCAGCCACAATTCAGATGAAGGGGCTGGTTGGAGTTTGGGGGGACGGCTGCCAGGTGAAATCTGGGATGCCTCAGTTGAGAGGTGAGTGGGGAACTGACAGCTGTAGACACGGGTCTGGAGGGTCTCCTTTTGAATGTGACGGCGATGTGTGCAGAAGCTGCTGTGTTCATCCGGGGAAGCAAGGCTGTGCCTTGAGAAGCACCTGTGTTTGGGTAGCGGGAAGATGAAGGGAGGTCAGGGAGTGTAGAGGCTGGGCACCTGCTGACTCTGCAAGGGGAACGGCCTGAACAGACGGGCATCAGTCCCATGAGGGGCAGGGCTGGGCAGTATCCAGCTTTGCCGTGGAGAAGCCATGCACATGAGTGTGTGTGTGCACGTGTGTGCGTGTGTGTGCATGGTACGGTGGACTATAATTACAAAAGATCCTCTGCTCTGTAATCCCCACCCATTCATGTCCTGTGACATTTGTCTCCCTCCCCTCCCCTCCCAGCATCTTCTGTCTCAGTCATTTACTCGATGGCTCCTGCTGCTCACCATGTCACCAGCTGCTCTTTTTTTTTAAGCAAAGTTCTGGAGAGAATAGTAGTTAAGAGCAAGAGTTTGAGGCCAGGTGCAGTGGCTCACGCCTGTAATCCGAGCACTTTGGGAAGCTGAGGCGGGTGGATCACAAGATCAGGAGTTCAAGGCCAGCCTACCACGACGGTGAAAACCCGTCTCTACTAAAAATACAAAATAGCTGGGCATGGTGGCTGGTACCTGTAGTCCCAACTACTCCGGAGGCAGGAGAATTACTTGAACCCGGGAGGTGGAGGTTTCAGTGAGCAGAGATGATACCACTGCACTCCAGCCTGGGTGAAAAAAAAGAAAAAAAAGAGCAAGAGTTTGGCTTTCAGTCCTGGCTTTACCATTTGCTGCTGTGTAACTAAGATAGACCAGTTATCCTCCCAAGTCGCTCCGTGAATTAGGAGTGAAAACATGGACCTTACTGAGATATTAAAGCAACGTAAAGTTATTATTCAGTTCCTGGCTCGTAGTGAGTGGTGAGTAACTTGTCTTTATTCTAAGCTAAAGCATACATTGACCCTCTGTCTTTCTTGCTTTCTTCATTCTGTCACTTCTTCCTTCACTATCCTTACAACTTCTCTCTTTTCTCCCAGTTTAAACTCTGAAAAGAAACTTTGGAATCAGAAATCTCAGAGAGAAGAATGTCATAATTCCTTTACTTCTTGATAATTAGGCTTAAAAACGTGCTAGCTTGACTTTGCCCGGCCACAGCTCACTGTTTTGACTGGTATCTTGAGCTCATTAGAGATAAAATCACATTCTGTGAAGTTTATCTCCTAAGTGTTGATAGAATCTGGGAGGAAGTGCAATAATTGAGTGTTTCACAAGAATGGTGGGAATTTTCTAACAAAGAGCATGCAGTTTTGAAGCTACAGAAAAAGGAAAGAAAATTTTCACTTATTCCTCCGTTCAAACCCTGGAGTTTGAGTTGTTTTCAAGTAACAGTACAGTTCTTCAGAATACCAGCAGGCGCAGCGGGAAACGCTTGCTGCAACATCTAAGGTGAGCGGGACTCTGTTCGTTTTATAGTCTGTGCGTAAGGTACCAAATCAAGAATGAAAATCCTTCATACGTTATCTTATGGGATTTATTTTTAATAATAATTTCTAACTAATTGTTTATTAATGATATTTTTCAATCCTATCATGGGCGTATCATCCCCATCAGGACCTGGGAGGTGTTCACTGCTTGAGTGAGTGTGTGTAGGAGGCTGAACGTCAGTGGTGCAGTGGAAAGGCCCCACGAATCAGCAGGTGGCTACGCAGCTGCTTCCTAACAGCAATGGTTTCAGAAATCGAATTGACTGTTTTCTGTCACTAAGAGGTGACAGCTGTTTGGCAAAGAAATTGTGCAGGAAATTGAAATGTCACTCAAGCCATCAGATAAAACCTACCTCTAGAGGCAGTCTGATCTTTCCGTAGACAATTCCAGGGGCTACGTTTCTTCCTTTTTTTACTTTTATCTTTTCCTTTTTTTTTTTTTTTTTTTTTGAGATGGAGTTTTGCTCTTGTTGCCCAGGCTGGAGTGCAATGGCGCGATCTCGGCTCACTGCAACCTCCGCCTCCCAAGTTCAAGCGATTCTCCTGCCTCAGCCTCCCGGGTAGCTGGGGTTACAGGTGCCTGCCACCATTCCCACCTAACTTTTTTGGTGTTTTTAGTAGAGACGAGGTTTCACCACATTGGCCAGGCTGGTCTCAAACTCCTGACCTCGTGATCCGCCAGCCAGGGCTGTTTCTTACGCCAATCAAGAACTTTCTCCCTGTGCTCAAAATTGTGTGCACCGGGGTCTCATTAAGTACCATGACCAATTCAGGGGCTGAAGCAGAACACGGCTCGGCTCCTCCACTCCAGAGACTCGCAGGATAGACTCGTGCTGCCTTTGCCGCCATTGAGAGTGGTGGAGCTGCCTGTGCTGTGCCGTCCTGAGCCAGGTGCACGCCCGAGGAGGGGCGAGGCTGAGGACCCCGCTGCTCACAAAGCCCTCCTGCTTGTGTCACATCGCCACCCACCTCCCTCCCACCACTGCCTCCCAAGACGGGAAGGCCTGGAAGGTGGATAATTCCCTGTCGATGTGCGTGGAGGAGAAATCAAACATTCTGACGGTGACGGCAGCTCGGGGGCTTCGCTCTAACTGAACACAACTGTCACTCACAAGGTCCCTTCTCACATACTTAATGGCTCTATTGTCCCCAGGTCTTTGCAGTTGAAGTCTCCCCATTCTGCAGATACAGAAGTTCAGGAAACTAAATGGCTTAGTTGAGGCACCGAGTGTGAAGGAGAGCAAAGACAGAGGCTGCCGCTGGGCTCCCGGGTCCGGCCCCTCCGCATCCCAGTGTCTCCTCAGAGGTAGGGACAATCCGGCCATAGCTGGGTAGGGAAGCATGGATGCAAGAAGGAGGAATGGGAGCCATTCCTCTTCTCAGGTATTACTCATTCCAACATTCTCAGCGTGTCAGAAAGTGCCGCAACATGAAAAGTGACAACCAGGGCTTCTCAGGGGACCCCCTCCAGCCTTCGTCCTCCTGGGTGTGTCTGACCGGCTGCGGCCGGAGCTCCCGCTCTTCCTGGTCCTCCTGCTGTCCTGCGTGCTGGCCGTGCTGGGGAACGTGGCCATCATCCTGGCATCCCGGCGGGACCCTCAGCTCCGCAGCCCCCTGTCCCTCCTGGACCTCTGCTACACCACCGCCACCGTCCCTCAGATGCTGGTCAGCATGGGCAGTGCCAGGAAGGCCACCAGCTGCGGGGCACGGCGCAGTACGCGGTCTTCCGCTGGCTGGGATGCTCGGAGTGCGTGGCCCTGGCCGCCGTGGCCGTGGACCGCTACGTGGCCATCTGCGAGCCCCTCCGCCACGCAGTCCTCATGCGCCACGCTCTCTGCCAGCAGCTCGTGGCTCTGGCCTGGCTCGGTGGCCTCGGAAGCTCGCGGGTGCAGGTGGGCCGGACCGTGCAGTCGCCGTTCTGTGGGCGGCAGGTGCTGAACAGCTTTTTCTGCGAGGTGCCGGCCGCGATCGAGCCACAGTGAACGCCGCCACGCTGGCCGTGCTGGTGGCCGCCTTCGTGTTGGTGGCCCTGGCGCTCGTCCTGCTCCGCTGCGGCTTCACTGCCCGCGCGGTGCTCAGGGTCCAGTCCTCCGAGGGACGCCGCAAGGCCTCCGGGGCCTGCTCCCCGCGCCCGCCGGCCGCTCCCTCTCCCACCTGCCTGCCGTTCACAGGTGTCTGCAGCCCCCTTCCAGCCACTCCCAAGGGCAGGGCACGTTAATTTCCCTCCTCTATCCCATAATCAGCCCGACCTCAATCCCTTCGTCTACACGCTGAGGAACCCAGACGTGAAGGGAGCGCTGAGGAGACCCCTGGCCAGGATCTGGAGCCTCTGCGGACGGTGAGGACCTGGACACGCCTCCTGGGTGCTCGGAGCATCCTCCACTTAAGGGGTTAACACCCAGAGAGCTCAGAGCCTGTCCCCAAGCATCTCACTTCCGGTCACAATGCCCCAAATCCCACATCTACAATAAAGTCCGTTTTAAAAGTGTAATTCTAAGAGGCCATATGTTTTCAAGACTTGTTTAAACAGACTTCAGTAAGTTTTTGTTGAATTATTTAACTTCCAGTTTCCTGATTCTTTTCTCTTTTCCTCTTCCTATATTTCTTTAACTTTCTCCCCATTTGTTTCTCAAGTTTCTCTCTCTTTTCTATTGCTTTTAGGTAAACACAACATGAACCTGAAATACGATCTTATTTTCCTTATAATAAATACGTGTTCTTCTCCATATACTTAAATCTCCACAAATTTTATATGACTTTTTCGAACAATTCCAATAATGAAGTCGATTGCTTTCTCTTTCCTGTGATTTTGGACTTTTTTTTCTGTAGTTCAAATTTTCTTCTATAGAAAGTTTTTCCATCAAAAGTAAACTAGTACAAACACTACGGAAAATAGTGTGGAGATTCCTTAAAGAACTAAAAGCAGAACTGGGTGTCTACCCAGAGGAAAAGAAGTCATTATATGAAAAAGATACTTGCTTATGCATGTTTATAGCAGTGCATTTTGCAATTGAAAAAATATGGAACCAGCCCAAATGCCCATCAATCAACAAGCAGATAAAGAAAATGTGATATATATATATAATATATGTATTATATATGTATTTTATATTTATATTTATATTTATTTTATATTTATTTTATTTATTTATATTTATATTTTATATTTATTTATATATAATATATAAATATATATGCATTTATTTATATATATATATCACATTTTCTTTATCTGCTTGTTGACTGATAAAGAGAGAAAGAGAATGGAATACTATTCAGCCATAAAAAGGAATGAAATAATGGCATTCTTAGCAACCTGGCCAGTTTTAACACCCTAATGCCCAAAGGTTGTCTTTCTCTCTTTCAAGCTCAGCTGTGTGTTTCTGATTACATTATGTACACAGGGTATCAAAGTGTTTGTAGCAGGAAGGCAGTCAGTAATAGTTCACCAAGATGCAGGAAGTGTCCAGTCAGTGCTGCTCAGAAGTGCTAACAAGACAGAGTTTGCAACAGAACATAAATTTCATGCTGTTTCCCTTATGAAAACAGTCTTAAGGTTTTTTTAAAAAAATGTTCACTTATCTAAAAGGCATGTTTGACAATGTGATTGATTTACAATATTATACAAGTTCCTTACAGCTACAGTTCCTAGGCCACAACTTGAATAGCCAAGTGTGGCTACTGTGATGGTTAATTGTATAGAGGAAGTAGTATTTCCATCCTCAGCAGTTCCATGCTGTTCAAGAGTTGTCCTTGTGTAGAGAGGCAATTAGTAAATATGTCCTTATAACTTAATGCTCTGTGAAGTATGATAGGTGAACCGTTCCTCAGATGGGATAAATCCAAAATAAGTTGTTCTCAAATGAAGGCAAGATGCATCTTCTACCTAATACTTCTGGTTATGAGTGCAGGCTCCAAAACTCTAAAACCTTTCCCTCCATGGCTTTCATGCTCTTATCTTACCAAAGCTGAAATTCCACTCAGTACAGTTGGTGTGAGGTAATTTTTAAAAAATTATCTACAATTGAATCATTTGCCAAAGTGACTTTTAAAATGCACAAAGCAATTTAATTTCTCTTAGGTAGTTTAAATAAATAATTTAAAAAATTTCTAGGCACTCTTTTTTGAAATTAAGAAAAGGCAACAATTTAATTCAATAAATACAAAAAAGTTTTACATATTCCTGAATTTTCAACTAGCTACAAAAAGCATGAATTATTCTTATTAGAAAACATAACTATTACAAAAAAATTAAATAAATAAGTAGCTGCCACAAAATTTCAACATAATACATAGTCAATTAGTTCTGTGTTATGGTCAGTTAACAGAAAGATAGCAGGAATGATTATATGAGCAAAAGTAGACAGAGCAAAGAAAAAAGATAGCAAAAAGAAAGAGACAGGGAGGAGAGAAAAATAAAGACAAAGAAAGGGTTTTATTGAATGAGCTAATTACATGAGGTCACCAAGAGGAACATCCTCTAATTGAGGCACTGTTATGAGAACAACATCCGGAAGCTTTCATCGTGTCTTCCTCACCCGGGCGTAAAGGAGATGCCCATTCTCCACACGAAGGCGTCATCAGAAGCTCTGTTCTCAAACCCCCCACTGGAAGGATCTCTGGGCTGGATGGACTGCAGCTCAGTCCACCCAAGGTCCCCTGGCTGGAGGGGCCAGAGAACACTGGTGTCTGGCAGCCCCGTTTCTGCCCCTACCAAGAGGGCTCAAAGACAATGGTCAGCTCAGGCTTTTCTTCTTGAAGTGTTTCTAATGCACGTTTTGTCTCATAATTGAAAAACATTTCACACAACCTGTAAAAGCAAATAGAAAGCCTGGGTTGCACTCTTCAGATAAGTCTCTCAGAGTCATTAACCTTAAAAGTCTCATCTCTTCATTTCCCTAAACTCCACACGCCTCTAAACTCTAAAATGTTAAAACAAAAACAAAACAAAAGCTCTAAGTGCCCAAGGTGGTTTCTGTTATGTTTTTAACTATCTAGTAAAAGAAATTTAACTATCTAGTTGGGAAAATTTTAAGAATATAAAAGTAGAGAATATAGTATAACAAACCCCCTGTGTCCATTACCCAAGTTCAACAATTACACAGGTCAGGTCAACTTGCTTCCTCCAATACCCACCCACTCCTCCCACCATGGATTATTTTAAATACTGCATTTAACAAATCTATAAATAATTCACTCTGTGACCCTAAAGCAGGATTACAATATCACTGTCATATCAAAACTGTTTAAGAGTAATTTCTTAATGTTGCTGTATGCCCAGTCAGCATTTATACTTCCTCAACTGTCTTGTAATTTTTTTTACATTATGTTCATTTAATCACAAACCCAATCAAGTCTGCACACTGCATTTGCCCAGGATGCCTCTCACGTCTTCCATGATGCAAGTTCTTCCTCCTCTTACACATCAGATGTGTGAGGAGGAAGAACGGCCTTGAGGCAGAGAATTAGGAATGTACGGAGGATAAGGTACGTGGAATAGAAGGCGAGAAAGTTCTAAGCAAGTGCAAAAGTCCGGAGGTGAAAGTGTTCCTGCAAACCAGCAAGGGGACCCCTGCACGGAAGGCAGAACGAGCAAGGGCTGGGGGAAGACGAATCTGCGGAAGCAGTGGGGGCCAGATTATGTGGGCCACGGAAGCCACCATGAGTTTGTGGCTCTTACTGTGAAAGCGATAAGAGGCTGGGCGCGGTGGCTCACACCTGTAATCCCAACACTTTGAGAGGCTGAGGTGTGCGGATCACAAGGTCAGGAGTTCAAGACCAGCCTGACCAACATGATGAAACCCATCTCTACTAAAAATACAAAAATTGGCCAGGCGCAGTGGCTCAAGCCTGTAATCCCAGCACTTTGGGAGGCCGAGGCGGGTGGATCACGAGGTCAAGAGATCCAGACCATCCTGGTCGTCATGGTGAAACCCCGTCTCTACTAAAAATACAAAAAGTTATCTGGGCATGGTGGTGTGTGCCTGTAATCCCAGCTACTCAGGAGGCTGAGGCAGGAGAATTGCCTGAACCCAGGAGGCGGAGGTTGCGGTGAGCCGAGATCGCGCCATTGCACTCCAGCCTGGGTAACGAGAGTGAAACTCCATCTCAAAAAAAAAAAAAATACAAAAATTAGCCGGGTGTGGTGGCACCTGCCTGTAGTCCCAACTACTCAGGAGGCTGAGGCAGGAGAATTGCTTGAGCCTGGGAGGCGGAGGTTGTGGTGAGCTGAGACCATGCCACTGCACTCCAGGGCAACAGAGCGTGACTTCATCTCAAAAAAAAAAAAAAAAAGTGATAAGAAGTCACCGGATGATGTTGGGAAGAATGATATGATCTGAGTCACGTTTCAGCTGCATCCCTTGTCTGCTAAAGTCAGGATAACAGATGCAGGTTGGCCTGTCAGAATGCCACCATGACATCCAGACACCTCGTGATGGTGGCTTGAGCCAGGGAAGACGCCGTGAAGCCGGCCCAGGCTGTCAGGGAGTGGCCGAGCCGGAGAGGCAGAGCTCACAGGGACACACGGGACCTGGGTATGGGAAAAAAGAGACCGTGAAGACAGCACCAGAAATGTTTTGGCCAGAGCAACTCGGAGGAGTTACCATTGCCTGAGATGGGGAAGAAGCAGGTTTTAGGCAGAAGAGCACCGGTGTGGACCTGGATGTGACATCTGAGAGGTTTATTTAACCTCCAAGAAGGAAGATTAGACAAGCATGCAGACACAGGATTCACGGCCATAAATTCTGAAAGGCACATATATCATGAAGTCAGAAAACTAGATAATTTAAATGAAGGAGAAAGTGCAGGGAAGAAAAATTAGCCCAGCGACTGAGCTCTGAGGATTCCACACATCCGGGTCAGGATGACGAAGAAAAGGCCGCAATGGAGACCGAGTGGAGATGGCTAATGAAATAGGGGAAAACCCACGCTGGTCTCAAAGCCAAGCAGTAAAAACGTCTTCCGTGAAAAGTGCGATCATCACGGCAGACAGAACCACGAGACTTGCCAGGAAGTTCTCACTAGGGTGGAAAGGATTACGTCAGCGCTGTCACCAAACACAGACGTGGTCCAGCAAGGCCCTGACACACTGCGGAATTTCATGGAATTTCCAAGCTTGATGTTCCTGGGGCATTCTTTTCGCCTTTAGAAATCCTCAGAAACAAAACAACGAGATCCCCGCTATGTAAAGACCCTTCCAATTCGGATGAACCACAGACAGGTCCTGCAAAGTGCGGTTCCCCGTGTAGAGCAGAACCCTCCTTGGCCACACCTGCATCAGGACTTGTGTTTCTCTGAGGAATATGGATAAAACCCAGCGTAACCTTGTTATTCTAATCAC